AGCAGCACTACCAGCTGCACCAGTGTATGACAACAGCAGCACTACCAGCTGCACTAGTGTATGACAACAGCAGCACTACCAGCTGCACCAGTGTATGACAACAGCAGCACTACCAGCTGCACCAGTGTACGACACAGCAGCACTACCAGCTGCACCAGTGTATGACAACAGCAGCACTACCAGCTGCACCAGTTACGACAACAGCGGGGACTACCAGCTGCACCAGGTATGACAACAGCAGCACTACCAGCTGCACCAGTGTACGACAACAGCAGCACTACCAGCTGCACCAGTGTACGACAACAGCAGCACTACCAGCTGCACCAGTGCATGACAACAGCAGCACTACCAGCTGCACCAGTGTATGACAACAGCAGCACTACCAGCTGCACCAGTGTATGACAACAGCAGCGCTACCAGCTGCACCAGTGTACGACAACAGCAGCACTACCAGCTGCACCATGTATGACAACAGCAGCACTACCAGCTGCACCAGTGTAACGACAACAGCAGCACTACCAGCTGCACCAGTGTACGACAACAGCAGCACTACCAGCTGCACCAGTGTACGAAAACAGCAGCACTACCAGCTGCACCAGTGTATGACAACAGCAGCACTACCAGCTGCACCAGTGTATGAAAACAGCAGCACTACCAGCTGCACCAGTGTATGACAACAGCAGCACTACCAGCTGCACCAGTGTATGACAACAGCAGCACTACCAGCTGCACCAGTGTACGACAACAGCGCACTACCAGCTGCACCAGTGTACGACAACAGCAGCACTACCAGCTGCACCAGTGTATGACAACAGCAGCACTACCAGCTGCACCAGTGTATGACAACAGCAGCACTACCAGCTGCACCGTGTATGACAACAGCAGCACTACCAGCTGCACCAGTGTATGACAACAGCAGCACTACCAGCTGCACCAGTGTACGACAACAGCAGCACTACCAGCTGCACCAGTGTATGACAACAGCAGCACTACCAGCTGCACCAGTGTACGACAACAGCAGGACTACCAGCTGCACCAGTGTATGACAACAGCAGCACTACCAGCTGCACCAGTGTACGACAACAGCAGCACTACCAGCTGCACCAGTGTACGACAACAGCAGCACTACCAGCTGCACCAGTGTATGACAACAGCAGCACTACCAGCTGCACCAGTGTATGACAACAGCAGCACTACCAGCTGCACCAGTGTATGACAACAGCAGCACTACCAGCTGCACCAGTGTATGACAACAGCAGCACTACCACTGCACCAGTGTACGACAACAGCAGCACTACCAGCTGCACCAGTGTATGACAACAGCAGCACTACCAGCTGCACCAGTGTACGACAACAGCAGCACTACCAGCTGCACCAGTGTATGACAACAGCAGCACTACCAGCTGCACCAGTGTACGACAACAGCAGCACTACCAGCTGCACCAGTGTATGACAACAGCAGCACTACCAGCTGCACCAGTGTATGAAACAGCAGCACTACCAGCTGCACCAGTGTATGACAACAGCAGCACTACCAGCTGCACCAGTGTATGACAACAGCAGCACTACCAGCTGCACCAGTGTATGACAACAGCAGCACTACCAGCTGCACCAGTGTACGACAACAGCAGCACTACCAGCTGCACCAGTGTACGACAACAGCAGCACTACAGCTGCACCAGTGTATGACAACAGCAGCACTACCAGCTGCACCAGTGTACGACAACAGCAGGACTACCAGCTGCACCAGTGTATGGACAGCAGCAGCACTACCAGCTGCACCAGTGTATGACAGCAGCAGCACTACCAGCTGCACCAGTGTACGACAACAGCAGCACTACCAGCTGCACCAGTGTATGACAACAGCAGCACTACCAGCTGCACCAGTGTATGACAACAGCAGCACTACCAGCTGCACCAGTGTACGACAACAGCAGGACTACCAGCTGCACCAGTGTATGACAGCAGCAGCACTACCAGCTGCACCAGTGTATGACAGCAGCAGCACTACCAGCTGCACCAGTGTACGACAACAGCAGCACTACCAGCTGCACCAGTGTATGACAACAGCAGCACTACCAGCTGCACCAGTGTATGACAGCAGCAGCACTACCAGCTGCACCAGTGTACGACAACAGCAGCACTACCAGCTGCACCAGTGTATGACAGCAGCAGCACTACCAGCTGCACCAGTGTACGACAACAGCAGCACTACCAGCTACACCAGTGTACGACAACAGCAGCACTACCAGCTGCACCAGTGTACGACAACAGCAGCACTACCAGCTGCACCAGTGTATGACAACAGACAGCACTACCACTGCACAAGTGTACGACAACAGCAGCACTACCAGCTGCACCAGTGTACGACAACAGCAGCACTACCAGCTGCACCAGTGTATGACAACAGCAGCACTACCAGCTGCACCAGTGTACGACAACAGCAGCACTACCAGCTGCACCAGTGTATGACAACAGCAGCACTACCAGCTGCACCAGTGTAATGACAACAGCAGCACTACCAGCTGCACCAGTGTACGACAACAGCAGGACTACCAGCTGCACCAGTGTATGACAACAGCAGCACTACCAGCTGCACCAGTGTATGACAACAGCAGCACTACCAGCTGCACCAGTGTATGACAACAGCAGCACTACCAGCTACACCAGTGTACGACAACAGCAGGACTACCAGCTGCACCAGTGTATGACAGCAGCAGCACTACCAGCTGCACCAGTGTATGACAGCAGCAGCACTACCAGCTGCACCAGTGTACGACAACAGCAGCACTACCAGCTGCACCAGTGTATGACAACAGCAGCACTACCAGCTGCACCAGTGTATGACAGCAGCAGCACTACCAGCTGCACCAGTGTACGACAACAGCAGCACTACCAGCTGCACCAGTGTATGACAGCAGCAGCACTACCAGCTGCACCAGTGTACGACAACAGCAGCACTACCAGCTTCACCAGTGTACGACAACAGCACACTACCAGCTGCACCAGTGTACGACAACAGCAGCACTACCAGCTGCACCAGTGTACGACAACAGCAGCACTACCAGCTGCACCAGTGTACGACAACAGCAGCACTACCAGCTGCACCAGTGTACGACAACAGCAGCACTACCAGCTGCACCAGTGTACGACAACAGCAGCACTACCAGCTGCACCAGTGTATGACAACAGCAGCACTACCAGCTGCACCAGTGTACGACAACAGCAGCACTACCAGCTGCACCAGTGTATGACAACAGCAGCACTACCAGCTGCACCAGTGTACGACACAGCAGCACTACCAGCTGCACCAGTGTACGACAACAGCAGCACTACCAGCTGCACCAGTGTACGACAACAGCAAGCACTACCAGCTGCACCAGTGTATGACAACAGCAGCACTACCAGCTGCACCAGTGTACGACAACAGCAGCACTACCAGCTGCACCAGTGTACGACACAGCAGCACTACAGCTGCACCAGTGTACGACAACAGCAGCACTACCAGCTGCACCAGTGTATGACAACAGCAGCACTACCAGCTGCACCAGTGTACGACAACAGCAGCACTACCAGCTGCACCAGTGTACGACAACAGCAGCACTACCAGCTGCACCAGTGTTTGACAACAGCAGCACTACCAGCTGCACCAGTGTTTGACAACAGCAGCACTACCAGCTGCACCAGTGTTTGACAACAGCAGCACTACCAGCTGCACCAGTGTTTGACAACAGCAACATTACCAGCTGCACCAGTGTATGACAACAGCAGCACTACCAGCTGCACCAGTGTACGACAACAGCAGCACTACCAGCTGCACCAGTGTACGACAACAGCAGCACTACCAGCTGCACCAGTGTACGACAACAGCAGCACTACCAGCTGCACCAGTGTTTGACACAGCAGCACTACCAGCTGCACCAGTGTTTGACAACAGCAGCACTACCAGCTGCACCAGTGTATGACAACAGCAGCACTACCAGCTGCACCAGTGTATGACAACAGCAACATTACCAGCTGCACCAGTGTACGACAACAGCAGCACTACCAGCTGCACCAGTGTATGACAACAGCAACATTACCAGCTGCACCAGTGTATGACAACAGCAGCACTACCAGCTGCACCAGTGGACTGGTGAACAGAACCATCGACGTAAATAATTTGTGAAAGAGTGTTCTGTGTGACTAAGTTATCAATACAGCTTAAGGCATCATGTTTGGCTTCAAGACGAAGCTTTGGTTGTGATTTAGAAGAGTTTTGGGGGAAATGAGGAATGGTAGTTTGGAATGGGTAATATCCCATGGAGCAGGGAAATGTCTCTGTTGTCTAACTTGACATAGGTCATGTAGATGGTTCATGCGGAGGTCGTTCCAGTTTTTTCGATCCCATCTGGAAGGATGTTCACCAGTGCTGAGGAAAGTTTGGAGGGCTTCTGTGCAGGGGTTTGAATGGGCTTGCCTGAGCATATTGACCCCAATAAGGATATTTCTTTCAGTAACACGATCTCTAATGCTTGGAATATTAAGTTCTTTCCGCATATTTAAAATTTTGGTAGTACGAGGGCATCCTAGGATGATCCTCATTGCATCGTTTTGCAGTTTTTCCAGCCCTCCAAGCTTCCAGACAGACACAAGTGCAAGTAGTGGCGCAGCATAATCAACCAATGATCTAATATAAGCAAGATACATCATTTTCACAATTTTAACATTAGCACCATACCTGGGATGAAAAAAATTCATTTTATTTACTTTTTATTTTATGGGAGTAATTATGACGTCACGACAAATCCGCAATAATCCGCTGAGTTACACGAACGATGTTAACGTCAACAGAGAACCTATAATTCAACAATAATAACTAATTAACCTCATAATTAATCTTATTTTGACGACAATGAGAGCCTAAAATAAAAATTTTAAAGCCAATGACCACAACTTTATAAATATTAGAGGTTAAATAAGGTAGAGAGCAAGTGAGAGGAATGAGTCATAGAGTTTGTTGTGTCTGTGTCAAAGACAACAAAGTGGAGGTTATCTTGAGGTTATTGTTATTTTGTAGTGATTTGTTGGGTTATATTGTGCTAAGATGACTGTGATGGGGGTACTTAGTGCTTTATGGTGGCGGGGGAGGAGTTGTTAGGTGGCAGTGAGTGTGTAGTAGATGTGATGGGTAGAGTATTGTCACTGATCCCCCGGTAGTCTACCTCCAGTCTTGACAGTGACTCACTGCTCCAGGTCTGCTGTCTCACTGCTCCAGGTCTGCTGTGTCACTGCTCCAGGTCTGCTGTCTCACTGCTCCAGGTCTGCTGTCTCACTGCTCCAGGTCTGCTGTCTCAATGCTCCACGCCTACTGTCTCACTGCTCCAGGTCTGCTGTCTCACTGCTCCAGGTCTACTGTCTCACTGCTCCAGGTCTGCTGTGTCACTGCTCCAGGTCTGCTGTCTCACTGCTCCAGGTCTGCTGTGTCACTGCTCCAGGTCTGCTGTCTCACTGCTCCAGGTCTACTGTCTCACTGCTCCAGGTCTGCTGTGTCACTGCTCCAGGTCTGCTGTCTCACTGCTCCAGGTCTGCTGTGTCACTGCTCCAGGTCTGCTGTCTCACAGCTCCAGGTCTGCTGTCTCACTGGGTCCAGGTCTGCTGTGTCACTGCTCCAGGTCTGCTGTCTCACTGCTCCAGGTCTGCTGTGTCACTGCTCCAGGTCTGCTGTCTTACTGCTCCAGGTCTGCTGTGTCACTGCTCCAGGTCTGCTGTCTCACTGCTCCAGGTCTGCTGTGTCACTGCTCCCGGTCTGCTGTCTCACTGCTCCAGGTCTGCTGTCTCACTGCTCCAGGTCTGCTGTCTCAATGCTCCAGGTCTACTGTCTCACTGCTCCAGGTCTGCTGTCTCACTGCTCCAGGTCTACTGTCTCACTGCTCCAGGTCTGCTGTGTCACTGCTCCAGGTCTGCTGTCTCACTGCTCCAGGTCTGCTGTGTCACTGCTCCAGGTCTGCTGTCTCACTGCTCCAGGTCTACTGTCTCACTGCTCCAGGTCTGCTGTGTCACTGCTCCAGGTCTGCTGTCTCACTGCTCCAGGTCTGCTGTGTCACTGCTCCAGGTCTGCTGTCTCACAGCTCCAGGTCTGCTGTCTCACTGCTCCAGGTCTGCTGTGTCACTGCTCCAGGTCTGCTGTCTCACTGCTCCAGGTCTGCTGTGTCACTGCTCCAGGTCTGCTGTCTTACTGCTCCAGGTCTGCTGTGTCACTGCTCCAGGTCTGCTGTCTCACTGCTCCAGGTCTGCTGTGTCACTGCTCCAGGTCTGCTGTCTCACTGCTCCAGGTCTGCTGTGTCACTCCTCCAGGTCTGCTGTCTCACTGCTCCAGGTCTGCTGTGTCACTGCTCCAGGTCTGCTGTCTCACTGCTCCAGGTCTGCTGTGTCACTGCTCCAGGTCTACTGTGTCACTGCTCCAGGTCTGCTGTCTCACTGCTCCAGGTCTGCTGTGTCACTGCTCCAGGTCTGCTGTGTCACTGCTCTAGGTCTGCTGTGTCACTGCTCCAGGTCTGCTGTGTCACTGCTCCAGGTCTACTGTCTCACTGCTCCAGGTCTGCTGTCTCACTGCTCCAGGTCTGCTGTGTCACTGCTCCAGGTCTGCTGTCTCACTGCTCCAGGTCTGCTGTCTCACTGCTCCAGGTCTACTGTCTCACTGCTCCAGGTCTGCTGTGTCACTGCTCCAGGTCTGCTGTGTCACTGCTCCAGGTCTGCTGTGTCACTGCTCCAGGTCTGCTGTGTCACTGCTCCAGGTCTGCTGTGTCTGCTCCAGGTCTGCTGTGTCACTGCTCCAGGTCTACTGTGTCACTGCTTCAGGTCTGCTGTCTCACTGCTCCAGGTCTACTGTCTCACTGCTCCAGGTCTGCTGTCTCACTGCTCCAGGTCTGCTGTCTCACTGCTCCAGGTCTGTGTCACTGCTCCAGGTCTGCTGTGTCACTGCTCCAGGTCTACTGTGTCACTGCTCCAGGTCTACTGTCTCACTGCTCCAGGTCTTTGTCTCACTGCTCCAGGTCTACTGTCTCACTGCTCCAGGTCTACTGTCTCACTGTTCCAGGTCTACTGTCTCACTGCTCCAGGTCTACTGTTTCACTGCTCCAGGTCTACTGTCTCACTGCTCCAGGTCTTTGTCTCACTGCTCCAGGTCTGCTGTCTCACTGCTCCAGGTCTACTGTCTCACTGCTCCAGGTCTACTGTCTCACTGCTCCAGGTCTACTGTCTCACTGCTCCACGTCAACTGTCACACTGCTCCAGGTCTACTGTCTCACTGCTCTAGGTCTACTGTCTCACTGCTCCAGGTCTACTGTCCCACTGCTCCAGGTCTACTGTCTCACTGCTCCAGGTCTACTGTCTCACTGTTCCAGGTCTACTGTCTCACTGCTCCAGGTCTGCTGTGTCACTGCTCCAGGTCTACTGTCTCACTGTTCCAGGTCTGTCTCACTGCTCCAGGTCTACTGTCTCACTGCTCCAGGTCTACTGTCTCACTGTTCCAGGTCTACTATCTCACTGCTCCAGGTCTAATGTCTCACTGCTCCAGGTCTACTGTCTAACTGTTCTAGGTCTACCGTCTCACTGCTCCAGGTCTACCGTCTCACTGCTCCAGGTCTACTGTCTCACTGCTCCAGGTCTGTCTCACTGCTCCAGGTCTACTGTCTCACTGCTCCAGGTCTACTGTCTCACTGCTCCAGGTCAACTGTCTCACTGCTCCAGGTCTACTGTCTCACTGGTCCAGGTCTACTGTCTCACTGCTTAAGGTCCATTGTCTCACTGCTCCAGGTCTACTGTCACTGCTCCAAGTCTACTGTCTCACTGCTCCAGATCTACTGTCTCACTGCTCCAGGTCTGTCTCACTGCTCCAGGTCTGCTGTCTCACTACTCCAGGTCTACTGTCTCACTGCTCCAGGTCTACTGTCTCACTGCTCCAAGTCTACTGTCTTACTGCTCCAGGTCTGCTGTCTCACTGCTCCAGATCTACTGTCTCACTGCTCCAGGTCTACTGTCTCACTGCTCTAGGTCTACTGTCTCACTGCTCTAGGTCTACTGTCCCACTGCTCCAGGTCTAATGTCTCACTGCTCCAGGTCTACTGTCTCACTGCTCCAGGTCTGTCTCTGCTCCAGGTCTACTGTCTCAGTGCTCCAGGTCTACTGTCTCACTGCTCCAGGTCTACTGTCTCACTGCTCCAGGTCTACTGTCTCACTGCTCCAGGTCAACTGTCTCACTGCTCCAGGTCTACTGTCTCACTGGTCCAGGTCTACTGTCTCACTGCTCCAGATCTACTGTCTCACTGCTCCAGGTCTACTGTCTCACTGCTCCAGGTCTGCTGTCTCACTGCTCCAGGTCTACTGTCTCTCTGCTCCAGGTCTACTGTCTCACTGCTCCAAGTCTACTGTCTCACTGCTCCAGGTCTACTGTCTCTCTGCTCCAGGTCTACTGTCTCACTGCTCCAGGTCTACTGTCTCACTGCTCTAGGTCTACTGTCTCACTGCTCTAGGTCTACTGTCCCACTGCTCCAGGTCTAATGTCTCACTGCTCCAGGTCTACTGTCTCATTGCTCCAGGTCTACTGTCTCACTGCTCCAGGTCTACTGTCTCACTGCTCCAGGTCTACTGTCTCACTGCTCCAGGTCTACTGTCTCACTGTTCCAGGTCTACTGTCTCACTGCTCCAGGTCTGTTTCACTGCTCCCGGTCTACTGTCTAACTGTTCTAGGTCTACCATCTCTCTGCTCCAGGTCTACCGTCTCACTGCTCCAGGTCTACCGTGTCTCTGCTCCAGGTCTACCGCCTCACTGCTCCAGGTCTACTGTCTCACTGCTCCAGGTCTACCATCTCACTGCTCCAGGTCTACTGTCTCACTGCTCCAGGTCTGTCTTACTGCTCCAGGTCTACTGTCTCACTGCTCCAGGTCTGTCTCACTGCTAGAGGTCAACTGTCTCACTGCTCCAGGTCTACTGTCTCACTGCTCCAGGTCTACTGTCTCACTGCTCCAGGTCTGCTGTCTCACTGCTCCAGGTCTACTGTCTCAGTGCTCCAGGTCTGCTGTCTCACTGCTCCAGGTCTACTGTCTCACTGCTCCAGGTCTACTGTCTCACTGCTCCAGGTCTACTGCCTCACTGCTCCAGGTTTACTGTCTCTGCTCCAGGTCTACTGTCTCACTGCTTCAGGTCTTCTGTCTCACTGCTCCAGGTCTACTGTCTCACTGCTCCAGGTCTACTGTCACTGCTCCAGGTCTACTGTGTCACTGCTCCAGGTCTACTGTCTCACTGCTCCAGGTCTACTGTCTCATTGCTCTAGGTCTGTCTCACTGCTCCAGGTCTACTGTCTCACTGCTCCAGGTCTACTGTCTCACTGCTCCAGGTCAACTGTCTCACTGCTCCAGATCTACTGTCTCACTGCTCCAGGTCTACTGTCTCACTGCTCCAGGTCTGCTGTCTCACTGCTCCAGGTCTACTGTCTCACTGCTCCAGGTCTACTGTCTCACTGCTCCAAGTCTACTGTCTCACTGCTCCAGGTCTGCTGTCTCACTGCTCCAGATCTACTGTCTCACTGCTCCAGGTCTACTGTCTCACTGCTCCAGGTCCCACTGTCTCACTGCTCCAGGTCTACTGTCTCACTGCTCCAGGTCTACTGTCTCACTGGCTCTAGGTCTACTGTCCACTGCTCCAGGTCTAATGTCTCACTGCTCCAGGTCTACTGTCTCACTGCTCCAGATCTACTGTCTCACTGCTCCAGGTCTACTGTCTCACTGCTCCAGGTCTACTGTCTCACTTCTCTAGGTCTACTGTCTCACTGTTCCAGGTCTACTGTCTCACTGCTCCAGGTCTGTTTCACTGCTCCATGTCTACTGTCTAACTGTTCTAGGTCTACCATCTCTCTGCTCCAGGTCTACTGTCTCACTGCTCCAGGTCTACCGTCTCTCTGCTCCAGGTCTACCATCTCACTGCTCCAGGTCTGCTGTCTCTCTGCTCCAGGTCTACCATCTCACTGCTCCACGTCTACTGTCTCACTGCTCCAGGTCTGT